TACTTCTATGTTTTAAATTTTTATTTAAACACACTGAAAAATTAATTAATCTTTTCACTATACTCTGTGACACATCATTTGGTTTAGACGTCCATAATTCTGAGAGAAAAGATCAGATTCTTCCTTGTTCTCAAGCCTAATGCACTGACTTTCATGTTATATACACCAAGTGGCCAGATTATTATGATCTCTGATTGCATAATAATCTGGCCATTCAGTGTAAATCCTATATAATAAAAGGCTAATCTGCAAATTGTCCCCTTGACCAGGAGTTCTACCAGCAGGCAGGCTGGCCAACTGTCCATGTCCCCCTCTCTCTGGCCAGGCTGGCTGGACCCCACCCATGGAGGAATTCATGCATCAGGCCTCTAATATATACAACTGAGTGGCCAGATTATTATGCGTTCAGAGATCATAATAACCTGGCCACTCAGTGTATATTTAGTAAATGTTGTGGTTTTGGGAAGTATGTTGTTTGAATCACACCTCTGTATTCTCTCAGACTCTGGGATCATTATAAATTCTGCAAAGATTTCACTGTTTAGGAAGTTTTAATTGGCACTCCAACTCAAAAGTTGACCAATTTTTTTTTCTTTCCCGGGCAAGAAAGTAAATATTTTAGGCTTTTCAAGTCATAAGACCTCTGTTGCAACTACTTTTGCCTCTGTAGTGTGAGAATAGCCAGAGGAAATATGTAAAGAATGTGCATGACTGAGTTCCAAAAATTTATTTACAAAAGCAGGTGGAGGGCTGCATTTGGCCCAGGTCCATATTTTTTGTACCCCTGCTCTAGCTACTCAGAACAGTCTCTTGTACTGAAAAAACAACTGATTTGCTTTGTTTTAAATATACTATTCTCAGGCAGTTTCAAGAGTGTTAAACATTTGTGAAGGTCTGATTGATATATTATAAATTTACTTTAGAATTGTTTAGGTGTTGATCTAATTAGGATTACCTTATCCCACAATCCCATGAGGTTACATTTGGACTCAGAATGTAATCTTGTTAGATGATTTACAAATATTTGTTTTTTGTTTGTTTGCATAGTTTGATTCTTAATAAAACTGATAGAAATTCCTCCGTAAGACAGGGCAATAAATCTGTGGGTTGCATGTCACATCACCCTGGACTTCTCTGTTGGTCTCTTCTGTGTTTCAGGCATGGGAAAATTGTAATTGTCTCAAACCTGTCATGTGATGATTTTGTATCTTTACACCACCACCCATGGAAGGAAATCATCTCTGTGCGTGTACAGATTTTGTAGACTTCCCATCCCTCCAAGATAACCCTGCTCTTATTTGGTTATAACTCCTATGGAGAATCCTAAGTCCTTAGATACTGGGCTAATGAATTAATTATTCATTATAGTTCCCCTCTGGGCTACCTCAGAAGCCAATTTCTTTAATAGCCAACCCTGAACTTGTGATCTGAAGCATAGTACAGGTCTTCTACCTGTTCCCATTTCAGTAATAGAGCCCAGATCTCCAAGGCTGCTCTCTTCAAGGGAAAAAGTCTTTATTTTCTAAATATTGTATATTTCTGTTCACCATTCCTCCCAAGAGGTTGTGGGACCCTTATACAATTAGGACCATTATTACTCAACTAGAAGCCTGATGCACAGAGATTCATGCAAGAATGGGCCTTCCTTCCCTTGGCTGCCGGCACCACCTTTGCTCCAGCTGGGGCTGCCTTTCTGCCTTCGCTCCATCCTGGAGCCACCTTTCCACCTTTCCACACTACCCAGACACTCAGAGCTGCTGGGGGTGGAGGGGTACAGAACGCCTGCTTCCCTCCCCACTCCGGGCCACTCAGCACACATATGCAAATTAACTCACCATCTTTGTTTGGTTAATTTGCAAACTCACTCCCAATTGGCTGGTGGGCACAGTGAAGGTACAACCAATTTACATCTTTTTCTTTTATTAGTGTAGATAAACAGCTGATGGGCACAATTTTCTAAGTATAAATAGTTTACATGCTGAATATAGTTAAATCCCCCTTCAATCCCATGGAAATAATACCTAAATTCTTTTTAGAAAAGGGCAAGGACAAACAATCCCCATCTATAATTTTAACCATAGGTTTGAAGAAAAATGTACATTGGCTATTATTAGAGTACCTTGTGTTCCATACGTTTAAAAATCAACACTTTATTGCTTACTTTTAACCTTTCTCCTGTGGACACAGGGGATAGATAAGAAATAAGAAGAGCTATTTTTCCTTCCTGCATGTTCTAAGACATGCACATATCTAGTTTAATGAATTTTAAATTCAAACATGCATTCATTTGCATAGTATAATGGGTTGAATGTGCCCCCTCCCCGAATTTCATCTGTTGAAACCCTAATCCCAATATGGTAGTGTATGTAGGGCTTTTGGGAGGTAATTAGATCATGACTGTGGAGACCTCATAGATGGGATTAGTCCCCTTATAAAAAGAGGCCAGATAGATAGTTAGCTGTTTCTGCCATGTGAGGAAACAGCAAGATGGCATTCTGCAAGGGCTAAATGGATCCTTACCAGAACCTGACCATGCTGGCACCTCGATCTCAGACTTTCAGCCTATAGAACTGCGGGAAATAAGTTTGTTATTAAACCACCCAGTTTAGGGTATTTTGTTATAGCAGTCTGAGCTGAAAATATGATAGTAAACCTTGTCTTTCATGAACAACTCTGTTTTACTCAAAAGAGGAAAGAGTGTGGATTCGCAGAGGAAAGTGACCAAAGTAAAGGCCATTTAGATTAGAATGGATCATCTCATTTCCATGTGAGGTGGCCAAAAGGAAAAAAAGGAAATTCCTTGAGAAAAGAGAATTCTGTCTGTGATGTCATAATGTCTAGAGGCTACATACCTCAACTATAAAAAATAAATTACTCAGAGTCTGCAATTTAAACTTTATTTCATACCTACTGTTAAATTACACAAAATTAGTGAATGGTTTGTAAAGCTACACCATTTGGACAGATGTTTACAGTTGAAATCATAATGCTGACAAAAAAGTATATTTATAACATACCCTATATACAATAATCAATACAGACAGAAAAAAATGCACTTAATCTCTGCAAACCATGCACACCACAGCAACAACACAAAATGATTTTCTGAAACAAGCTTTTCCACTGGCTCAGGCTTCATCTTACTTTCTAACAGTAACTATCAGTTTTCAAAGCAAACATTATCAATTAAAATGAAACAAATTTGAAATACCACAGTGATCTACAGAGTCTTTATTTTAAAAACACAATGTACACAAAATAGTTTCACTCTAAAATACTTTGACTTGAAGGTATGTTTTATTTTCTCAAACTCTTTTCAGTTTTTCTGTTCTTAGAATTCCCAGGACTGCAATACTGTCAGGTAAAGCAAAATTTAGGAATTTTGGCACAAGCTCAGAGTCAAGAAAATTTATTTTCAACTCAAATGCTCAACTTCTTGTCCAGCTTGTGGCCATATTATTACAGATGAAACTAGATCATGCAAATGAGCAGATTGTACAAGATGGGTCTATGGTCACACTTCTAAGCATGGCCCTTCTGAAAACAATTGCCAGTTCCAGTTGCCTTGTTTGATCAACAGCAAGGGGGTTAGTTTAAGTTCTTACAAAAGTACAACAAAATCTGTAAAATGCTTCAAAGAACAGTGGGTTATATACTCCCTGGTCAATCCATAATCAATACCCTAAAGTATTTATTTATAGACTAACTTTCCTCAACTTATATGCTGATACTTAACTTCATGGCAGAACACTGTCTCCTTTGGTTCTTTCTTAAAGCAAAACCTGGTAGAGGGTTAACCTCAAAGAATCAAGGTACAGCATTTGGTGTTATTGAAAAACTGGCTATCCTAATGCTTAGTCTACCATTGTTTTTCTTGTGTAATTGTCTACTATCCGTCAACACAAAAAAGAAATAATGGGCTAAAAATAGCCAGCCCAAATGGAAACATTACAATTAAAATGTACAAAAGTAAATAACAATTCATTCACATTCAGGTTCAATTCTATTTGATCAAGAATAACTTCAGCAATATTTTTAGACACATTATCCTATTCAAGAACTTCTTGATAAGGACTCCACTACACAAATATTGATAAGACAATTCTATAGAAAATCCTGACTTTTATCCAGGATTATATATCACAATAAATTCAGCAACACACCATTTAAATGACAAAGGAAGATTCTATAAATGGGTTAGTTTGGAATGAGCACAGCTCAGAAGCCTTAAAATGAATGAGAAGCAGCGCCAAAAGATTCCAGAATTGTTGACATTACAGTGCCCAGAAAGTTATCTGGAAATTAGGTCTTTACATTGGTATTCCATTTAGAATGAAAAATGTCTTGTTAATATGAGATACACCCTGTTTAAAACCTTTGAGAGTAGAAGGTAGAAAAAGTTTTAAATTTTAAGCATCTCTTACATAACAAGATAGTGTCCTGTTCTACTTGAAAAGCCAATACTTTTACATACAACTACCTATGTTTGGGAGAGAAATTTTTCGTTTGCACATTTTGGAAAAATGTAGAAAATTAAAGGTTGTGTGTTTAATTTTAGGCTTTTAATGTTTATATTCATGCTAACCCCTGAAAAAATGCTTCTAAGACTGAGTTTTAATAGCGTACCATAAATAATTTAAAGTCCATTTTTTAAGCGATAAGTTGTCACATTTTGTTTTCATTTTGTCTTTATAACAAATTTAAGAACTTCTTACAATAGCTAAAGAGCAATTTCTCTTGATTCTGGTTTGGCTTTTGGATTGTGTAAATACTCCAACAAACCAAAAATAAGTGGGGGAACAATTTAATTACATATTGAATGTTTTTCTACCCACACACAGTATAACATTCAATTGAAAGGCAACTGTAAAGGCAACATCTTAACTCTTACTAGCTTCCAAATTGAAGGAAGCAAGATGTGTTTGGACACTCTTCTTTTCAGATATGCCATAGTTTTATTGGCGCTTTGGGATGAGTGAGCAAAAGACTTTGTGAGCCATTTAACGCCATTTCTCTACACTGCCTATGTAGTCATTAGTGCCATTGCTGGTGTTGCTATCGCTCTGCTCTTGGCCTGGGTCCTGCTTCGGGCTTTCCCGGTTCTCTTTCTGGATTGAATTCTGACTTGAATTCTGAGTCAGATTCTGAAGCAGATTCTGAATCAGATTCTGAGTCACGTTCTGATTTGCATTCACATTTGGGCTCTGACTCTGATTCTGACTCGGATTCTGGCTCTGGCCCTGACCCTGGCTCTGGAAATGGGTCTGAAGGAACCTTCCCTTCAGGAATTTGCGTTGTTCCTGACGCTTCCGCCTAGCATCTTGATGATCTTTCTGCCTCATAAACTGATACCTTTGCAGAAAGAGATCTTTCGCAAAGCTGTACAATTCCATATCCAGAAAATTCAGTCCCTCAATTCGCTTTTGGGTTTCCTCACTGATTTCTACACTAGAGGCCCTAGTGGTATTATATTGGGTAAACGGCGAAATGAAGTTCATGTTGAAGGTTTTCTCAAACAGATATTGGGTCTTCCGCTGAAACTCAGTTAGGCCGAAGAATGCCATGTGCTTCAGATTCGATTTGGCACTTTCCAGGAGGACCTTGTTTCTTTGCTTTTCTGGCATGACAGAGAGGTTGTAGCAGCCTACGAGGGTCAGGTCAGAGAGCATGCGCACCTGGCGGTTGTTGGCCAGATTATAGGGACAGTCCATGAACTCTTTCAGAGGGCAGCCAGACCAGTCATCACCAGTGTAGCAGCTGGGTAGCTCTTCGGAGGTTGGGGGCCTTCCATCACAGACATGCAGCGATGCTTTCCATGTCGCCCCTCTCTGGACATGCCTCCATTCACTCAAGTACCGCGACACTGGGTCTCGGAGGATGGTGATATAGTGGAAATTCCTATGGAAAAAGCACAAAGACCAACAGTCAAGGATGTGGGTGACATAGTGGTCTCAGGGAGGTGTATGGCATATGTGATGTTCACTGGCTGGTAAGGAAGGCAAAAGGGGAATGATGAAGAATTGATGGCATTTGTCCTGTGAACTGTGCTGTAGTCTCCTCTCTTGAGTTTCACTAGCCTGTCCAAGATAGCTAATTCTTTCAACTAATTAGCTGGTATAAAAAGTTTAGGCCTAGGACATCAGTTTTGTTATGCTTCACTTGCTCTCTGTTTCTCTCCCCAAACAATGACAAAATCCTTTCAGTGACCCCATTTGCTAAGTAGGCAACCATTTTATTTCAAAACACTACCGGCAAACTCCCATTAAATAATCATGAAATGGAGACTCAGTGGAAGTGATTTTATTGAAGTGTTATGGAATTGATAAGTGAATATAAATTCTAATCTTTCTTGCTAAATACACAAAAGCTTTTTTGCTCAATATCCAATATAATCAGAAAATCATCTCATTTTAAAAAATATTTTTATTGATTTCAGAGAGAAAGGGGAAGGGAGAGAGGGATAGAAACATCATCAATGATGAGAACCATTAATTGTCGGCTTCCTGCACGACCCCTACTGGGGATTGAGCCCACAACCTGAGCATGTGCCCTTGACCAGAATTAAACTTGAGATCCTTTAGTCTGTAGGCCAACACTCTATCCACTGAGGCAAACTGGCTAGGGCTTAATCAGAATATCTTATTTTTTTCTTTATTGATTTATCCCCTTTTTTGCCCCCCCCCCCACACTCATACCCTCACCCCCCTGGGGTCTGTGTCCATTTGTTAGGCTTACATGCATGCATACAAGTCCTTTGGTTGAGAATATCTTATTAAAAAACAAAACCTCACTGAAAGATTGTCTGATATGATATCTTTGATTTTGGTTGTATAAACATCATGGCTTATACATCACGGAAGTGGAATGCATAGATAGGCAAAGCAGCCCAGGGCCTCCAGAAATAAACATTGTGACTAATTACTGACTGAAATAAACATGGTATCTGCCAATGGCAAATATGCAAGCTACTACCTTGGTTTCAAGTCTTCACTCAGATGATACTTTTCCCGATAGGAAAATTAACTCTGTAGGTATCAAAATGCTCCCTCTTTACCCACTGAAAGGACAACTCGATGTCAGCAAGAGCAGAGGCTTGGCTGTGTGATTCTCTTCACTTTAAAGCTGAAAACTGATAAAATTCTTTGTTCAAATAACAAACATTAAAACCACACGCCCTACACAGCGCGCACGTGCACGTGCGCGCGCACATACACACACCCCTTCAAAAACATTAAGCCTATATGTGATCAGGTATGCTCAAGGGGAGAAAAAACAAGGGGGTGGGCTTTTTATAAGAAATTAATTTCCACCCTAGCCGGTTTGGTTCGGTGGATAGAGCTTCGGGCTACAGACCGAAGGGATACTGGTTTGATTCCAACCAGGGGCACATGCCCGTGTTGTAGGCTCGATCCTTACTGAGGGGCATGCAGGAGGCAGCGATCCGTGATTCTCTCTCATCATTGATGTTTTTATCTCTCTATCCCTCTCCCTTCTTCTCTAAAATCAATAAAGAAATATATTAAAATAAATTTCCACTCAGGTGCAATGCATAAAAGAAGAGGTGATGGGAGGGCATATTGTGGGAGGAAAACAAAAATAAACACTGAATATTAGCATTTAGTTCCTTAAAAAAGCCTGGGGAATGGCTTACAGCTTTTTTGAAATTTATTCATTCCCATGTGAAAGGCTGGTGGCTCTGCATACATGCACAAGGAGCCAAAAGGAACCAACTCCATCACCCAACTAACTAAACCTGGGAAACGTTTCTTCCTAGTCTTGGCTTTTGAGCAACTCGGGCACCCTGGGAGCTATGCTGTAGGCATGGGAGGTTGGTTGTGGGAGCGCACTGACCACCAGAGAGCAGCTCCCACATTGAGTGTTTCCTCTACCTGCTATGACCTTCCTTCTTTGACTGGAAAATTCTACTCATCTTTCAAGTCCCAGTCCAAGTACTATATTTCTTCTGAGAAAAATTACTGCAACCCTTGCTGCCAGCCATCACCTCTTCCCTGTGTCACATAGCACTTCCACACTTAGCCTGTACTAGAACACTTTTGATACTAAATTGCAATTACTTGTTTGTATTTCTGCTTAAACTATGTTTTCTAGGACAGGGGCTCTGTGCCATCTTATTTATAAAAACCCTGGGTCTGTTACATCCTCAATAACCAAGAGACTCAAGCAACCAGAAGTCAGTGCTGGGTTGCCGTGGTGACCCACCACTGACTGCTGAGGGGGCTGTGAACCAGGGCCGAAGAGAGGCATGAAGAGAGAAGCAGGGTCTGATCGGTAGTCTCTGTGGCAGCTGTTGATCAGCATTTGCCTTTTTCTTTCTGGGCTTGGTCAGCAGCTGCACCTCCATTTCACTCCAAGCCTTTACTGGGGTTGCTGATCAGCCCTGCCTTTCTGATCAGGCCCTGTGAATAAGCCCAGAGATGCTGACTGGCATAGAAACCATCCAATTAGAACCAAATCTGGGTGAACTGTGAGGAACTAATGGCTGCCTAGGAAATGGAGCTTTTGTCGCTGACTGGCATAGAAACCAACCACTCAGAACCAAATTGGCCTGCAGAGGAGGGCAATTGGGGGCGATATCAGGCCTGCAAGGGAGGGCAGTTGGGGGTGAGATCAGGCCAGCAGAGGAGGGCAATTAGGGGTGATCCGGCAGGCAGAGGCAGTTAGGGGCAATCAGGCCAGCAGGGAAGGGCAGTTGGGTGCAAGATCAGGCCAGCAGGGTAGGACAGTTGGGGTGATCAAGAAGGCAGGGGAGGACAGTTGTGGTGATTGGGCTGGCAGAGGAGCAGTTAGGTGTTAATCAGGTCGGCACGGGAGTGGTTAGGGGGTGATCAGGCAGGCAGGCAGGTGAGCAGTTAGGAGCCAGCAGTCCCGGATTGTGAGAGGGATGTCTGACTGCTGGTTTAGGTCCGACCCCACAGTTGGACATCCTCCAAGGGGTCCAAGATTTGAGAGAGTGCAGGTGGGACTAAGAGACCCCCTCATGCACAAATTTCATGCACTGAGCCTTTAGTAAAGTATAAGAACAATTGTATGTCAAAATTTAGATAATGTAGGTAAAATGGACAAGTTATTAGAACATTCAAGTTATCTAAACTAATTCTAGAATGCCCCTTGACCAGGTGGCCTCACTGGGAGCAGTTAGGTATTGATAAGGCTGGCACGGGGGTGGTTTGGTGGTGATCAGGCTGGCAGTTCCACAGGGATTGGGTCTAAACCGGCAGTCACACATCCCCTAAGGGGTCCCAGATTGGAGAGGGTGCAGGCTGGGCTCATGGATACGCCGCACTCCCCCCCCCCCCCCCAGTTCACAAATTTCATGCACTGTGCCTCTAGTCCTTCTATAACTCTCACACTATCCATTCCACCTTTGTACCTTGGCCTTTACACCTGGTACAAAGCAGAATCTCAGTAACTCCTTCAATTGCTTATTTAATTTACTATTCTGGAAAAATTGGAAACTAAGAAGGATATGCCTGATCATATAAAAACTTTGGCGAATATTCTAAGTGCCTTGCAAAAATTACAGAAAAAAAATTTTAATCACTTTCAATGTTTCCCTAGAATAAACAAGCATGAACACAGAAGCATCTGGGAGTGAAGATGAAGAGGCGGCCAAGACCACCTTCACATATTCTCACTGCTTTTCCTAGGACCTGACTTAGTGGCTGCCACTAAAATTCATCTCAGTGACACACTGTTAATGAATGGCAGTTCTTGTTCCCAAGCAGCCTTTAACAACAAAGGTGACTATTCTCAAGGGTTTCCTCCTTCCACTCCAAGATTTGGTATTCATTCATTCATTCATTCATTCATCCATTCAGTACATAGTTATCAAGCCTTTATGTTAAGCGTTAGGAGATAACTTAGTGACAATTAGTATGATCATTTGGGGGAAAAATGAAGTTTATGAAGTTCAGTGACACATTTGGATTAATCTTTCAACCTGCTTTTCCAGGCATGCATTATAATGGGTGCTGCTGGATGTTTTGAACCACCATAGTGGAGTCACCTTCATGCTTAGCTGACAGTCCTTCCCTAGTATGTTTTCCTGATTTAAGCCTACAGTGACATCTTCTGGTAAATTCTAGAGTGCACCCCAGTTCCAGTCTGAGGTGCACCTTTCTAACAACTCTCCCTTACTTTTCAGAGCAGATTAATCACAACCAACAGGGTTATTGTCAGGAACAGAGATTTCTAAGTACCATTCCCACATGGAGAGAGAAAGGCAGAGACAGACATTCCAAGAGTCTTCATGTTCTGGATGTATGACTCCTTTCACTCTCAGGTCCCTAGTGCCTGCAATAGATGAGCACAGACCAATGTAGGCAGCCTCAGTCTCTACACTGTAGGGAATATAATGGCAGCAAGAGGAATTAAAGGACCCTTCACATAGGCATGCATGCAGGTGTGTATGCACACACACTTCCCTGTGATAATAGCCACCCTACATTCAGATGGCAATAGATCTGGAGATTCAGTGATTGCCAATGGCCCACTTCCTCCAGGGAAAACAGGCCCAGAGGCACAGCTTGCCATAACTGGAAACACTTAATGCTACTTGAAAAATAATCTCATAAATTAAAAGGAAGATCTGCTAAAGGGAAGGTCTCCAGGATTGTCCAGTGGCCTCCAGAGTTGCATAATGTTTTGGTACTGAGAAGGCAGGTAAGAATAAAATCTGGGAGGTTTAGCTGTGCAAAGGATCCAGGATGCCAATTCCTCAGAGTGAAGAGTTGTTAAGGGAACATTAGCGAAGCGGTCTTCCCACCCACAGCAAATAATGATATGCAAGCCCAACCTTATGGGAATATATTGGGAATCAAATAGGCTCAGGGACATGGGTGGCACTTTTCCACTGGTTAGTTCAGTTTAAGCACCTA